TCCCTGCTCTCACTCTCCTAGGACAGGGACACCTAATCAAATCACAAATCCTTTTTCAACTGTAAAGATGGATTTTCTTCTCAGGTGAGCATGAATCCAGCCACTCTATGCTGAATAAACCCATATCCTACCATAAGGAGCATAGCAATCTTGTAGGACTTGTCCCTTTTCTCTCAAGATGAAGATATCTGCCTTGTGGAAAGTAGTCCCAATTATTGCAAGGCAAATGTCCTTTTAAGTCCATGAAGAAACCCATCCCTTCCCAGATTCCTACTTCACACCAGACTAACTGCTTTTCTCTCCATAGGTAGGTTCCTTTCTCTGGCAAAGTGTGGCTTAGCGACTGTCCAGTGATTATACAGGGATTCTCTTCCAAGCAGGTTTGAAAAATTTCTGGGGTTTGCACCGTTCGCTATGAGACTAAGCCTGGTGTTCTGGCAAGATAATTCCTACTTATTGCAAGTCAAAATTATTCCTAACTCTGGTGAAGTAACCCATCCATCTTTACACTGTGTTTTATGTTACCCTTGAGTTACTCTTTTTCTCAACATATGCGAATTCCCTCCTAAGAAGCATAGAAACCCAGGCACTCTAGAGCAATTTTTTTAATCTTATAATTAGTATGGCAAATATCATGAGATAATCCCTCTTATGGAGTTAAAAATCTCATTGCTCTTGGGAGAGTAATCCCCATTATTGGAAGCCAAATCAGGTCTTAACAGGGGTGAAGAAATTATCGATTATCATCATGAGATTATTTCCATTTGCAGTCCTGATTATAATCCCTTTTTACTGTAAATATGGGTTCCCTCATCACTTGAGAAGTAGCCAGGCACTCTCAGGTGATCACCCATAACCTTCTCCATGTGGTGCCAAATCCTATGAGTTTTTCCCTTTTGTCATGAGATTTAGCCCACTACTCTGGGGAAAGGAATTCTCATTATTGCAAATCGAATCTATTCCCCCTTGAAGGGAAAAGATCACCCCATAGCCAGATTCAGTCCTTCATCACTCCTGAGTCTAAATCCATGTCTCTGTAAGGATGGGTTTTTTTTTCTCAAGTGAGCATGAATCTAGCCACTCCCTGCTGAATATACCCATATCCTCCCATAAGGGACTCAGCAATCTCTCCAGTCTCTCAGGGGCGTAATCCCTGTTATTAGAATCCGACTGTGTTCGTAACACAGATGAAGGAATCATCATGGCTAATTATCCCCTTTTGCAGTCTTGAGAACAGATCACTTTTACTGTAAAC